TTCCCATTGATTGAAACACCTGACTCTAATTTTCCTTTCAAATGACTTGATAATCCTAGAGGTTCACATATTTGTGCCACATGCATATATGTAGCTTTGGATCATTTTCTTCAATAAATAAATGAAGGAATATAATGTTTTTGACTCATTTGTTTTATTGTGTTCTCTTTATCTAGTTTTAGGATTTGTGTGGAGAACAGATCACATTTTAAGTCATATTTATGCAGAAATATTGAAAATTCAAAAGGATTCACAAACTTTTAAGCACCACTGTATGTCTGCAGTGCTCCTTTTAAAAATATTCTTATATTTGTTTTGAATGATAGCCATTGCATCGTTTTGTACAGACCTTTGTAAACCTCCTTGGGGCTGATATCAATAAAAAAATAAATGACTAAGGCTTGTTCTAAGTAAATACTTTTAGGGTTGGTGTGCATGTGTTTCTGATCTGGCTAGTATGAGAGAATCTTAGCTACATAGAAAGTTGAAATAAGTGATTTTTGCAGGAAATACATATTGTGAATTGCCTGGTTATTCTGTCAAATTGAATGCTAATAACACAGTTACAGGTTTGGGAAAAATTCACATATCACTTAAGATGACAACTTATACTCCATGTATAAAATGTGAAGCAGCTTTAGTTTGAGAGGTTGCATGAATCAAACATCTTTTCATGGATAGCAATGTTATTTATGCATATATCTTAGTTAGTCAGTGGATTCCTAATGTTTATCTTTTTTAGTGATTTGGAAAGTTTTCCAAGCAAGAAAGAGCAGTCGGAGAGCAGTGCTTCTGGTTGGTCTGTGTGACTCAGGAAAAACTCTTCTATTCGTTAGGGTATGCAAGTTTATTTCATAATCTCTTCTAGACTATTGTTCAGATTCATATTTTGTTGCATTTTTTTTCACATGTTATTGGAAGATTAAACTTATATTAGTCTCTTCTTCTTTTTAAAGCATTTAGAAATGTAAAATACCAAAAACCATTAGGTCAGTAATTTAACTGAGATATTTAATTTTCTCTGCATTCTTTTAATTTTCATAGCTCTTAACAGGAAATTTCCGAAATACTCAGACTTCCATAACTGATAGTTCTGCCTTGTACAGAATAAAAAATGACAAGGTAAGGATGAAGATGTTATGTTTTATGGAATATAAATACATATATAAAAGGATTGTTATTCATTTGAAATAAACTCAAATAATGGTGGAAGGCAATGAAAATGTATAAGCCTAAGCAAAATACTGCTTAAATATTGTTAGATGTTAATTAAATGCTTATTGCTTCTCCTGTAGAATAGGAATGTGACTTTAATTGACCTTCCTGGCCATGAGAGCTTGAGGCTTCAGTTCTTGGATAGGTTCAAGGCTGCAGCTAGGTAAGTATCCAAAGGAATGGATATATAAGTGTTTTCAAGATGTTACCGGTGTACAGCCTCTGCAGGGATGCTGCAAATAAACCTGATGAAATATGGGCATCTCAGTTGTTAGATTTTGTTCACATCTCTTTTTTTCTAAACTTTTCTTTCTTGCTAATTGCATAGGAGAAGAGTTTCAAAACAAAACAATTCACATTAAGATACCAGATTTTGACAGTATCAAAACTTGTGCTTAGAGAAAAAAATAGTGCTAATTACAAGCAGTCTCATGTCTATTCGTCTGTTTTGTTGATATGCCACCTAAAGGATAACATCAATTAACATTATGCATTCCATATTTTTTTGTATAGGGCAATTGTGTTTGTTGTGGATAGTGTAGCTTTCCAACGGGAGATGAAAGATGTTGCAGAATTTCTGTACCAGCTCCTGACTGACAACACAGTTCTGAAAAATGCACCTCCCCTCTTAATGGTCTGCAACAAGCAAGGTAATGCCTATGATATTTGAAATAAGCTGGCCTTCATTTACATGTAATTTAGATTGTTTATAGTGATTAGTATTTCATCATACCTTGCCCAAGATACAGAATAATTGTACATTTGGAAACAAGTTTTTGTCAATCCTGGTATACTAACATATAGCTTTTATCTTTGTTTCTGAAATTTGGTTTCTGTTGTGATGGGAAATCATGGTTTATTTTAGCTGTGTTTTATGAAATCAGCCAATTGGCCAGATATGCATATAACTCTTAATTATAAACTATAATTTACACATCTGGATGGATATTGCCAATCTGATACCAAGCCATAGTACTGCAGTGTGTGAATTCAGTGTTTAGTAGCTGCTTTTTTAGGGACTGAGTGATGGCTGTGTCTGGATTTAATTGTTGTGTGAACTTTCCCACTTCTTGCAATAATCTGAGGAGATTTGCCTTCATTTGCCATGAGCTTGTCTGGTGACAGTTCAGATCAAGGCTTCTCTAGGTACCCTCCAGTTTCTTTGGAATGCACCCCTAGAATTGAGAGGCCTAGCAGTTTTATTAGCTTTTAGAAAGGCCCTTAAAATGCACCAAGCCATTACTGTCTCTAATACAGTACTTAATATAATATGCTTTTTTTTTTTTTACCATTCCTTCCATAGATGTTACAATGGCAAAATCTTCCAAGCTCATACAGCAGCAGCTGGAAAGAGAACTGTAAGTTCAAAGGATTAGTTTTTCAGTGATCACCTTCATATGTCTTTCTTTATGTTCAAGGTTACTGCCCAGTAGCAACTACATTTTTCTTATTACTTTCATATACTTGGGAAGGCAGAGTAGAAAGTAACACTGAGCAGTGAAAAACAAAACCCATTTTACTTATAGAATTTCCAAACAGTTTTCACGCATGAGGATAGCTAAAGTTTTAAATAGCAACACAGATATTAATTTAAACAAGTTTATAGGTAGTGCATATTTTTGAAATAATGCTTTGATTCAAATTATTCTTGATTTAGTATCTCAGTAAGTTTTTTTTGAGTGGAGGAATGCCTTCAAGTCATTGTTGACTCTTGGCAACCTCCTGTACTAGTCCCCGCAGTTTTCTTCTACTCATCTCAGTAGTTAAGCAACAGATTTTTCTTTGGAGATAGATTCCCTGATATAAATGGAAAGCCATAAAGTTGAGAAATCTTTTCCAATATTACATGTCTATTAATAGAACCCAAACTGGATAATTGCTTCCTTGCTACTAATTCACTGTCCTACAATATCCAATCTTACCAAATTGTATTTCTTTTATAACCTGAATGAAGAATTATAGTTTTATGTATACTTTATAGTTCACATTGAAAATTAACAAAGTATACTTTGTTTTCTTACCCATACACCTGAGTCTCCTCCCTTCCTTTCTAAATAAGGAAAATTTAAAGGAAGGCCATACTTTGTTTTGTATTTTCAAATTAAATTTCTGAGCAGATTATGCAACACAGAAAAATGTTTTTTTTCTTTGTTGGACTTATGTAAAGCTAATCCTTAAAGCCAGTCCCTGAATCATTATAATCCTATGGTTGAGTATCACCAGAACAGACAACATATTGCAAAGATGGAGCTGAGAGGAAAATATAGCTTTGTCATCCTTTTCCCCACCTCTCCCTTTCCTATAATACAGTTGAAGAATTAAGACTCTTGACCAACTATTGAAGATTATATTTAATGTAATTATGATGGGTTATTGCCAGATTTCTGTATGTTTTGGCTACAAATCTCTGTGATCTAATAATTAGGACCTTTTCCCATACTTGGATCATTTACCTACTTATTTACTTCTATGCCATGCTTTCTCTTGGACAGCTCACAGTGACTTGCAAGGAAGCAATCTTAAAAACAATACAGCCAACAAAACATGAAAAGAATAAATACAAAAATTAAAGTAAGGGTCATGTTAAAAAAAAGAAAAGCAGTAAAACAGATAGTAGTTTGGTCCTGGAATAGTTATTATCCTACGGATATTAGCTAGTTTAATATGTATCTCTCTGTAAACATGATGTGAGCTGCCCACAGTGCCAGTTGTTGATTTTACACAGATCTGTTCTATTCATCTAAACTTGTTCTCCCTTTTTTACAGCAATACCTTACGAGTGACCGTCTCCGCTGCCCCAAGTACTATGGATAGTTCAAGCTCAGGATCTGTCATTCAGCTTGGGAAGAAGGGAAAGGAGTTTGACTTCTCTCAGCTGCCCATGAAAGTTGAATTTATTGAGTGTAGTGCCAGAGGAAACAAGGGAGAGGAGGGTGGTGCTGACATTGATGACTTGGAAAAATGGCTAGCAAAAATTGCCTGAGCATAGGAAGGTGCCAAAGACAGCCCCTGAGAAGAGTATGAACTGGAATGATGCATGCAATCTAATAGAGCAAGAACTTGAGTTTTAAACCTTAGTTTCGCTAGGAAAAGAGTGACACTTGGAGCTGTAGCAATGGTGAGAACATTCACTGTCTTGCTCAGGGAAATGTTTACTTTCTATTCATTGTTCACAGAAGGGCTCTGCTGAAGGATCTTTGTCCTTTAAGCACAGCCTAGCAAAGTGTAGTCCCTTTTCTGCTTCCCATTCTCATGGTCGTAGGTAATTTTCCTACTTTATCTTAGGAAAAGACCCTTTGAAAGGGGGAATCCTGTGTTACACAAAACTCTCGAGATGAAAAGGAACATTTTTAGATATTCCTAGATTCAAATTCCTTTGCTTCTGCATTCCTTCCATTAGTCTTCTGATCTGAAATGCTTGTGATCCATGTCCACTTGTTATTCACATTACTTTATTTTCTCTTTCATTCTCTAGAAAGCATTAGAGAAATAGGTTACTTAGAATTTTTTTTTAGTATGTCACAAGCTGGACTTGAGACTTTTTCTATTTGAGTTGCATTTCCCAAAAACATTATCTGTAAAAAAAAAAAGTGGCACATACACAGAAAACTCAATTGTTGCTTTTGGATGCTTGCTTATCACATATCTCCCCTGAGCCATACCTGTTACTAAAGACAAAGTTCTATTAAAATATCGTTCTTAAATTGTATGAATTGGTCCCGAAGATTTATGTACATCGATTTGTTCAGTATTAGTAGCTTCATGATTTGCTCCAAATTACAGATAGACTCAGAATTAGCTTTCTGTGCATGAGTAAGTAAATTGGGTGACTTGGCAGTGGAACACCAGGGTCATGCTTCTAAATATGTTAGAGCTTAGGTATGGAGTTGTGCTCTCTTGCTTTGAACCTTACTTTTATTTCATAAGCCTCTTGCCAAATCCAGAATAAAAGTGGTAAAAACAATCAGATCATGAGTGCTAGGCTTGCCATGAGGCCCATGGCTCAAGTTGCCTTTGAACAAGCTGCAAAGGTATAGGAACCCACAAGTTTTACATTATTATTTATCTGTGTTTATAAATAAAGATATAATATTTGCCTAATTACACCTCTGATTTTCCCAGTCATTAATATTTTCTTTAGATAGAATGTGTGAATGCATTGTTTCAGAGTGCATTTTTAAACACAATATTTTTTTGCTTGTGAAAGCCTTATTACTCTTGCTACAAAATTGTATTGGGTTAAAAGATGTGTTATTTTAACAGGAGTTATTGTACATTTTTTTGTATTCCAGTTCTAAATTGAATTTGGGGTGGGAGGGTGGGGGGAAGCTACAGCGATGTTGTAGAGACTTAATTTGTTGCAGGATGTTAATGTTATTCCTGGAGAAATGTCAAATTACAGTATATAAAGAATTATATCACTGTTACAACCAACATTAAACATCTGTCTACTGCAGGATGTTGGGTTTAATGAGAACCCTTCAAGTTAGAGATACGTTGGACTAAATGTGTGAATACAGGGGCTTTAGATGTAACAATAAAAATACTTTATATATTTTTAATGTGAATATACACAGACTGAATTACAAGGCACAAATATGTGGAAACAGCATCTTAGGGTTGCTGTTATTAAAAATGAAATATATGTTGTCAATTTCTATTCTGAATAAAATCAACCATTTATGTCATTTTAAAAAACTATATATATTTGTGGTTATAGCATTCTTTTATTTAAATAATAACTGCTGGAATAAAAGTAAATGATAAAAATGTTTTCCCACTGCAAAAATTATGTTAATGCATATTGAGCTCCTATAGTTTTATTTGCCCAATACCCATCTGCCAATTGTAAAGCAGCATTTTTTTTTAAGATAGGTTAA